TAAGCAGTGGTTTGAGCGATCTGACGCCCAAAACGTATAAAACTCGTTTCAGGTGCCATACAGTGGTAGTTGTGGTCTTATCTGTTCGCAGCAGTAGCAGGAGTGTCAGCAGTAATGGTAGACGTTGACGCCGCAGCAGTAGCAGCACAAGTAGTAGTAGTAGTAGTAGTAGTAGTAGTAGTAGTAGTAGAAATAGTAATAGTAATCGTAATAAGCCAAGCAGCAGTAGCAACAGTAGTAGTAGTAGTAGTAGTAGTGAGTGTAGTAGTAGTCGTAGTTCGTCGTCGAGTTTTGGTACTATTAGTATTATAGTATTATTATTTGTAGTAGTAGTAGTAGTAGTAGTAGTAGTAGTAGTAGAGTAGTAGAGTAGTAGTAGTAGTAGTAGTCGTAGTATGTAATGGTAGTAGTAGTAGTAGTAGTCGTCGTGTCGTCGTCGTAGCGTAGTAGTAGTAGTAGTAGTAGTCGAGGTAGTAGTAGCAGCAGTAGTAGTAGTGTGTAGTGTAGTAGTAGTAGTAGTACTAGTAGTCTAGTAGCTAGAAGTAGTAGTAGTATAGTAAGTAGTAGTAGTAGTACATAGTAGTAGTAGTAGTAGTAGTAGTAGTCGTCGTACTAGTAGTATATTAGTAGTAGTAGTAGTCGTCGTAGGAGTAGTAGTAGTAGTAGTAGTAGTAGTAGTAGTAGTAGTAGTAGTAATAGTAGTCGTAGTCATAGTAGTAGTAGTAGTCATAGTTATAGTAGTAGTAGTAGTAGTAGTAGTTGTAGTAGTAGTCGTAGTCGTAGTCGTAGTCGCAGTCGTAGTAGTGGTGGTCGTCATAGTAGATGTAGCAGTAATAGTAATAGTAGTAGTAGTAGTAGTAGTAGTAGTAGTAGCAGTACTAGCTGCAGCAGGAGAGGCAGTAGTAGGTCTAGTAGGTCTAGTAGGTCTAGTAGTAGTAGTAGTAGTAGTAGTAGTAGTAGCAGTAGCAGTAGTAGCAATAGCAGTAGCAGTAGTAGTAGAAGAAGTAGTAGTAGTAGTAGCAGTAGTAGTAGTAGTAGTAGTAACAGCAAAAGTAGTAGCAGTAGTGATGATGGCAGTAGTAGTAGTAGTAGTAGTAGTAGTAGTAGTAGTAGTAGTAGTAGTAGTAGTAGTAGTAGTCGTAGTAGTCGTAGTAGTAGTAGTAGTAGTAGCAGCAGTAGCAGCAGTAGTAGTAGTAGTAGTAGTAGCAGTCGTAGTAGTTGTGGTCGTAGTGGTCTTGTAGCAGGCCAATGCGATAGGCTAAGCCTGTGCCACTGGACGCTGCCATAAGACAAGTCAGCTGAGGTGATGGTCAGCTGCGCCAAAGGCAGTGACCTGAGATGTACGCAGTAGCAAGGCAGGCTCTCAAAGGTGAGTCAAAGAAAGCTGTTGCAGGCTGTTCTTGCTTAACGGAGGCAGGTCTGTGATACGTCTGGCCAGTTGTGTTGGAGACCCGAGGCCCGCCCCGCCAACCTCTTCCATCTCGATTTGTTGATGAGGCAGATACACACGCACAATGTATTCCAACATGTGTGTCTCTGCCATCCCATGTTCCTCAACGCTTGGGCTCAAGGCAATTTGGCCCAAGGGCGCTCGGCCCGCGACCACCCATCGCACTCTCAGACGTTCACAAAACACGTCGACAACATGCTCTCAGCAGCCTATTCATCTACTCTCTCTCGCGAGTCCAAGGACACCCTGCCGCTGAAGGTGTTCCTGTCGGACGACGACGGCAGCACCACCGGCAGCGACACGGGCGTCGGCTCGGACCCCTGCCACTCCGACAGCGACGAGACGGCCTGGTCCGCCGGGCCCGTCGGCGCCCCCCCGGGGCTCGGCCCCGACGCGTGCACGGTGGCCCCCGCCAGGCGCACTCCCCTTCGCAGCCAGGCCGCCGCGTACTCGCCCCTCCGCAGCCAGGCCGAGGCGTTCGTCCCCCTGTGCCTCGCGCTGGCCGCGAGCGCCCCAGGCGCCGGCGCCCACGCAAAGGAGGGCGCGAAGGAGGCCAGGAAGACGACGGTGATGATGTGCAACGTGCCCCTCTCCTACACGTGCGACTCACTGATCGGCCTGCTGGAGTCCAAGGGGTTCTCAGGGTGGTTTGATCCATGGGCTTACGCCGCACCTCCGACCTCCAGGGGGCGCTTGCGCCGTGCATTCGTCTGGGTTAACTAACCTTCTTGGGCTCCTCCTGGGGCCCTCAACGGGGGTCTCTTGGGCAGTCTTGGGGGCCTCTTGGGCCATTTTGGGGGGCCCTCCTGGGCGGTGTTGCAGCCCTCTTGGAGGCCTGTTGGGCCGTCTGGTGGTGATTTGGGCGGCCTCCTTGGCTGTCTTCGAAATCCTGGAGATAGGAAAAGCGAGTGCATGTCAAACACTAAAACCAAATATACGAAAACAATAGGTTTTGTACACTCAAGGCCAGTTGGGGGCCCTCTTGGGTGGCTTCTGGGGACGCCTCGGGAGCGTCGTGGGCCATCTCGAGGCCAGCGGGGGCCGTCTTGG